TAAGAGTTCTCCACACTGCTTTCCATAGGGGTTGAACCAGTTTGCAGCCCCACCAGCAGTAGATGAGTGTTCCCCTTTCCCCACATCCCCTCCAACATTTGGTATCATTTGTTTTCTTGATCTTAGCCAGTCTGACTGGGGTAAGGTGAAATCTTAAAGTGGTTTTAATTTGCATTTCCATGATTACTAGTGATGTTGAACATCTTTAAAGATGTTTCACAGCCATCTTTACTTCTTTTGAGAATTCTGCTCAGCTCCCTAGCCCGTCTTCTAATTGGGTTACTTCCTGTCTTGCTTCTCTGTTTTTTAAGCTCATTATAAATTCTGGATGTTAAACCTCTGTCAGATGTGTTGCTGGTGAAGATTTTCTCCCATTCTGTGGGTTTTCTGTTTGCTTCCCTGGTTGCCTCCTTTGATGTACAGAAGCTTTTTAGTTTAATGAGGTCCCATCTGTTGATTCTTGACCTTGATTCCTGAGCAATTGATGACTGGTTTAGAAAATCCTTTCCTACACCTATATCTTATAGGTTTTTGCCAATGTTTTCTTCTAACAGTTTCAGAGTTTCAGGCTTTACACTGAGGTCTTGGACACCTACACGGCTTCACCTGCGTTCTATTTCTTTACCTTCTGGCAGCTTAAGGTCCTCACGGACTTCAGTTTCTGTCAGCAGGGAAAGGTAACCATCCTGAATGCCTATGAGTTGATAATTATTTCTCTTAATATTTGGAACATCCATGTTGTGAGTAGAAGGGCAAATAGCTTCATATTTTTTTGCCTGTGAAAACATCAACTCCAATAAAATGTACCTTGGCATGTCCGTGCTTTCCAGTTTTGGAAGTTGGTATCTCCACTATTTTGCACGGTCATCCTTTGAGCACCACCAAGCCGTTTTTGCGCAGGGCGGAGCACTGCATAGGGTAAGTGCTGGAAGCCCCAGCATCTCCAGTACTGAAATCAATTTTGTCTGCCATGGTGGGCTGAGGAGATGCGTGGTTTTTCCTGGACAACTTCCAGTGGGCACCCCGCTCCTCTGCTGCGGCCAGGTCCATCCCTGTGGCTGGCTGCAGCGGGGACTGCGGAGGCGGCCGCAGCTGGTCCAGGCGACAGGGCAGGGCCGCCACGCTTCCTACCCTGGCACCCTGCCCAGGCTGCCCGGCGGGCCACAGGGGATGATTAATCTTTTTTAATAATTAAAAATGTTTTTATTTTTAAGGCCAGGCACGGGGGCGCACGGCCTTTAATCCCAACACTCGGGAGGCAGAGGCAGGCAGATCTCTGTGAGTTCAAGGCCAGCCTGGTCTACATAGTGAGTTCCAGGACAGCTGGGGCTACAGGGAGACCCTGTCTCAAAAAGTTTTTATTTTTATATGTGCTTTGCCTGCAAGTGTGCAAGGGCACTCATGCCATGCAGGGCCCACAGAGGCCAGAAGAGGGTGTCAGATCCTCTGGAACTGGAGTTGTGCATGTGGGGAACCAAGTCCAGGTCTTCTGCACTCCCAGCCAGTGTGATTGACCGCTGAGCCGTCTCTCCAGTCCCTGATGACTGGAGTTCTTCTGCTAAGATTGGAGCCTGCTGTCCATTTCCCCAGTTCTATGCTGGGTTTTTGTTTACTTGAGTTTGCATGGGTCTTGTGCATGCTGTCACCATTGCTGACAGTTCATATGAGCAAGGTCCCAGGAGCCTGTAGGACTCTATTTCTGTATAGTCATACACCTCCTCCCTGACTCTTAAAATCTTTCTGCCCTGCCTTCCACAATGGTCCCTGAGCCCTGAGTGGGTGGATTTTAATGTAAGAGTCCTCTCCACAGACCCACACTCTGAAGACTCCATCTCTACACTTTGGCTATCGTGGCCCTTTGCTGCATGAGGGAGCTGCACTGATGAGAGTTGAAATGCATTAGTGTTCTCTCTACCTCTTGTTCCACTGTGCTCTGTGAGATTTAGGTGAAGAGGTTCCATTGTGGATGTCACTAGGGCCAGGTATCTTACAGACACTTAATATCCATTTGTGACCAGTTGTGGAACTCTGTGATAGTCTCTGTTGCAAAAAGTTTCTTTGGGTGGTGATTGGTATACTTGCCCCGCAGAGGCCCGAGTCAGGCGTGAGTCATTTTCCAAAGGACTCAATCCCTTCTTTATTTTTATGTGTATGAATGATTTGCTTGCATGTAAGTGCACCCATGTCCTGCAGTGTACGTGGAGGCCAGAAGAGGGTGTCAGATCCCCTGGAACTGGAGTTACAAATAGCTGTTAGCCACCATGTAGGTGCTGAGAACCTGACTGGGTCCTCTGCAAGAGCAGCCAGTGCTCTTAACCCCTGAGCCAACTCTTCAGCCCCAAAAGTGTATCCTCTTTTTTTTTTGATACAGTATCTCCCTGTAGCCCCAGCTAGCCTGGAACTACCAGACTACGCTGGCCTAGATCTCACAGAGATCTTCCTGTCTCTGCCTCCCCAGGGCGGGATTAAAGGCTCAATAGTTTGTTTTTAAACTACTTCTCATTGTCCTGGGTGCACAAACCTCCTCCTGTTGGTGTTCCCTCACGTACAAAGGAAGGCAGTGTGGCTGGACACTCTGGACTAGGGCCACCAGTTCGGGCTTGCGGCCTTTTGCGGGGGGGGGCTGTGTCAGTTACTGGGCTCAGTGCCCAGGCCCCGCCCTGTTTCTTCCTCCTGATCATTCCAAGCATCACATCCTGAGGAATATTCACCAATCACTTTCATCCAGGACAAGCATCTTCAACTCGGCCACAGGCGTGCCACCGGCCTGCACAACTACGGCCTGGGGGATTGCTCACACTCCTACCCCTTCTCGCTCGCCCCGCCCGTCTCCCGCCCTCACCGCCCGCCCAGCCCGAGGTCTCCCGCGCGCCCCGCCTCGCACAGCTGTTTGCGTTTCGAACCCGGGGCCCTCGCTCGTCGCCCGCCTTGCCTACCTGTTTCTCAACTGAGCCCAGCGTACTTCTCCCGGCATGCCCCACGCTGGCGTCGGAGACGCTGTTGCCTAGCGACGGACGTGCCCGGAAGACGGGGGCAGGGCGGGACTTCCGGGGCCGCGGTTGCATCAGATTCTGGGAAGCGTCTGTGGCATTGGCCGTGGGTTGGGATTCCCAGCGATGGCAGGTTCCGGGGAGCACGGTGAGTGGCACGGGGACAGCCGGGGCCCGTGGCTGGCGGGGGGCTCAGGGACTGCCGGAGGGTGCGCTCCGGGGGCCGGGGCGGCTGGGCCCGGGCAGGCAGGGCCCGGCCAGGGTGCTCCGGACAGCTGGGGCCCAAGTGGACAGTGGTCAGGCCAGGGTTATGGGCGCCGAAGGGGGCAGTGGGCAGGCCAGGGTTATGGGCGCCGACGGGGGCAGTGGGCAGACCAGGGTTATGGGCGCCGAAGGGGGCAGTGGGCAGACCAGGGTTATGGGGGCCCAAGGGAGCAGTGATCAGGGCAGGGTTATGGGCACCGAAGGGGGCAGTGGTCAGGCCAGGGTTATGGGCGCCGAAGGGGGCATTGGGCAGACCAGGGTTATGGGCGCCCAAGTGGACGGCGGTCAGGCCAGGGTTATGGGCGCCGAAGGGGGCAGTGGGCAGACCAGGGTTATGGGGGCCCAAGTGGACAGTGGTCAGACCATGGTGCTCCCAAAGAGGCAGTGGTCAGATCAGGGTTATGGGGGCCAAAGGGGGCAGTGGTAGTCGAGGGCTCTAGGGTTGGCAGTGCTCTGAGGGGGCAGTGGGCAGACCAGGGTGTGCCAGACAGCAGTGGCTCAATGGGGCAGTGGCAGGCTCTAGGGTCAGCAGTGATCTGAGTGGGGAGTGGTCAGGCCAGGGCTGTGGGGACAGCAATGGGCCAATTGGACAGTGTTTAGGCCAGGACTGTGGAGGCCCAAGTGGACAGTAGTAGTCCAGGGCTCTGGCCTGTTGGGTCCCACATCTAGGTAGGGCCCAGGCCAGGTACTGGAGACAGCGAGGGCCCAAATAGGCAGTGGCCAACCCAGGACGCTGGGGACGGTGATGGTTTAAGTAGGCAGTGGCAGGCCAGGGCTCTAGAGTTGGCGGTGACCTGGATGGGCAGTGGCCAGACTAAGCTAGGCCCTAGGGCCGATGAGGGGCTAAGTAGGCAATGGCTAGACCAGAGCCCAGGGGACAGCGGGAGCCAAGTGGTCATTGGCAAACCAGGACTCTCAGCATGGCTCCTGCAGTCTCCTGACCCCTGTTCTGGAAGACTACCTCGTCCCCAGCCTCAGTTTCTTTATTGGGTTGAGGCCAAGATCCCCTTGTATACCTGGTGGGGAGGATGGCTCTGTGCCAAACAGCCTGTCCCCAGCTGGTGCCGAAGGGGGCAGTGGTCAGGCCAGGGTTATGGGCGCCGAAGGGGGCAGTGGGCAGGCCAGGGTTATGGGGGCCCAAGGGAACAGTGATCAGGTCAGGGTTATGGGGGCCCAAGTGGACAGTGGTCAGACCATGGTGCTCCCAAAGAGGCAGTGGTCAGATCAGGGTTATGGGGGCCAAAGGGGGCAGTGGTAGTCGAGGGCTCTAGGGTTGGCAGTGCTCTGAGGGGGCAGTGGGCAGGCCAGGGTTATGGGGGCCCAAGGGAACAGTGATCAGGTCAGGGTTATGGGGGCCCAAGTGGACAGTGGTCAGACCATGGTGCTCCCAAGGAGGCAGTGGTCAGATCAGGGTTTTGGGGGCCAAAGGGAGCAGTGGTAGTCGAGGGCTCTAGGGTTGGCAGTGCTCTGAGGGGGCAGTGGGCAGACCAGGGTGTGCCAGACAGCAGTGGCTCAATGGGGCAGTGGCAGGCTCTAGGGTCAGCAGTGATCTGAGTGGGGAGTGGTCAGGCCAGGGCTGTGGGGACAGCAATGGGCCAATTGGACAGTGGTTAGGCCAGGACTGTGGAGGCCCAAGTGGACAGTAGTAGTCCAGGGCTCTGGCCTGTTGGGTCCCACATCTAGGTAGGGCCCAGGCCAGGTACTGGAGACAGCGAGGGCCCAAATAGGCAGTGGCCAACCCAGGACGCTGGGGACGGTGATGGTTTAAGTAGGCAGTGGCAGGCCAGGGCTCTAGAGTTGGCGGTGACCTGGATGGGCAGTGGCCAGACTAAGCTAGGCCCTAGGGCCGATGAGGGGCTAAGTAGGCAATGGCTAGACCAGAGCCCAGGGGACAGCGGGAGCCAAGTGGTCATTGGCAAACCAGGACTCTCAGCATGGCTCCTGCAGTCTCCTGACCCCTGTTCTGGAAGACTACCTCGTCCCCAGCCTCAGTTTCTTTATTGGGTTGAGGCCAAGATCCCCTTGTATACCTGGTGGGGAGGATGGCTCTGTGCCAAACAGCCTGTCCCCAGCTGGTCTGCACCTGGGACTTCACCCCTTTCCACCCTGGCTGGACTTTGGGGTGAGGTGAAAGCCCAAAGATTGTTTTGGTCTTCTGCCCAACCAGGTGGGCGGAAGGGCACCTGAGACTGGTATTTAGGGAAGTGGGACAGAGGAAGTGAGAGCTTTGTGTACACACACATGAAAGGGCTTGGGCTTGATGAAGGCTTTAATGTTCTGTGTGACCAGCTGTCACCAAGGGGACCTGCCCCGTCAGAGCATCACTGCCCACTTTATTGTCCCTCAAGAGGCAGTCACTCATGTCACCCGAGGGTAGACCTGGGTCCTGCAGTCAGACGTCTGTAGAGCAGTGTTTTTCCTCCCCATCCCTACAGCAGCTGGGTTCTGGAAAGAACAGCGGCCGTGGCCCAGATCCTTGATGGTCAGAGGCAAGCCGTCACAGAAGCATGCTCAGTGTAGCGTTCAGTCCCTGCGCCGGCAGGCACTAGATGTGAGTTCTGGCCCCTCTCCTCCCTGCCTCCAGCATCAGTTGCTGTACCAAGATCTCTTGGCATCCTGTGGGGCCTTGTTGCTAGACTTGGCATTGTAGGTAGATGGTTCTGACCACCTGGGTCACCCAGTGATGGGGACAGATGACAGGGCTGCTCACCTTCACATTCCACTGGACTGGCACGTCTAGATTCCAGCTGGCTCTGCCCGCCCCAGAGCCAGGTAGCTCTTAGAAGTCCACCCAGTCTCTTGTGACACAGCAGTGTGGCCAGCAGCCTCTCCCCTGAGCTGCCTGGCAGAGCTGGGGTGGAAACTGCCCATCCTCACAGCAGTGTGGGGAATGGCTCCTGCCTCTGAGAGTGCCGTGGGCGTACCAGAGTTCATAGCTGAAAGGACTCGAACAGTGCCTGATGTATAAGCACCACATCGTGCCAAAATCAAGACTTTGTGCATTTATTTATTTGGGGTCTTTTGAGACTGGTTCTCATGTAGCCTAAGCTAGTTTTGAACTTGATAAGTAGCCGAGGGTGACCTAGAACTGCTGAGCTCCCTGTCTCCTGTGTACCAACATGGCAGGCGTGTGGCACCAGGACCAGCATCCCCTTTGGCTTTTAAAATAAAAACATATGTGTGATTCATTTGTTAATAGTAAGGAATTTTGTTTGTTTGTTTGTTTGTTTTCAGTTTGTTTGGTTTGTGTTTTGAGACAGGGTCTCACTGTGTTGCCTTGGCTCACCTGAACTTGGTGTGACTGGCCTCTAACTCAGAGAGATCCACCTGCCTCTGCCTCCCAAGTGCTGAGGTTAAAGTCATGCGCCACCTCACCCAGCTGGTTTGTTTTTTAATTACTTAGAGTTTTAGATAGCAAGAACTTTGTGAGAACTGACTTACCTGGGGAGACTGCTATCAGTGGAGATGTTCAGTTAGTGACCGGGCGTCACGGTTTGAAGTCTCACCGGCTCCTACTTTGTGCACAAACACTGTCCCTCGGCTGACCCTCCGAGAGAAGTGCTTGGGCCAGCCTCTGAGGAAGCAGGAAGTAAAAAGCAATCCCCAGACACCCTCATGCCACTACCAGAGGTGTTCCCCAGGCTGTGGGTTCCGTTTCTGAGTGGTCTTTTGTTGTTTTGAGACAGGATCTCTTGTTGGAGTCCAGGCTGACCTCAGACTGGGAACCCTTCACCTCCCAGAGTGAGGATTACGGTGTGCACCCCACACACAGGTCAGGGGCCTTTAACAACTTGTGGATTTATTGAAAGCAGCCATCTTCCCAGATTTTCAAGGAGGCTCTGGGTCAAGTCATCTTCCCTGAGTTGACTCAGAACCTGTTTCTAGTCTCTTTGCAGGCTGGGTGGCATGCAGCCACAGGAGACGAGCTCATCTCGTGACCTGTGGGAGGCAGAACTCACGTCATTGGTTTTCCCATAGTTTAACCAGAGGGCCTTTGTATTATCACATAACAACACAGCCAGCCTTTCTCGGCTGTAAACACATCTGTTCTCCCTGTGACCCTCGGAGTAGGTCTTTGTGAATGGCACTGCTCTTTTTTTCCTATGCAGATAAGACCCAGAGGGCCAGCAAGGTGAAGTCTGCCATCACACAGATCGAGACAGGGCCAGGCTTCCCCTGATGCAGGGATGTCAGCCGCCATGCAGGGCCGCCTTTGCAGATTCTGTTTGAGTTACCAAGAGGCACTAGCTCTGCAGAATGGGAGGCAGAGGAGCAGAGCGGCCTGTTTGTAGGCTACAGATAATTGCTTGTTTGTGACCTCAGGACCCCGTGTTCCCAGGGCATCTGCAGCCTTCCGTGGGCACTGAGCCTCTCCAGCGTCTGCGCGGCACCTCCTGGTGGCAGTGGTAGGTGGGAACCCCAAAGGGGACTGGTGGGGTAGCAGCTGGAGGAGGCCGGGGGTGCATTTGCAGGAAGGGAGCAGTCTGCAGGTGGTGGGGTGTTACTAGGACATCTGTGGTGGGTAGTGGTCTTAGAAGGCAGAGGGTGAGGAGGGTGCCGACCCCAGGCTCACCTCAGAGCTTGTTAGCAGCACAAATGCACCTTTTAGCAGCCTGCACCTGTGGATTCTTACCACCACACTGGAGTCTGGAGGCCTGGATAAGCACAGGAACCCCCTCCACCCGCTTGCCCGGCTGACCCAGAGATTCTGAGTAGCAGATCGCCAGTAGCCCAAGCGTGTGAGAGCACGCCGGGCCGGCCCAGCAGGCAGGCAGCCCCGGTGGACACAGCAAAGGCTCCAGCACTGTGGGCTGTCCTTGCAGTCTTTGGGACATTCCCACCATCAGAGGGCTCTGGCCTTCCTGTGTTCCCAGATTGAGCTGCAGGTCTGCCTGCCAGCGACCTGCCCTTCTCTGGGCATGTGTGTGTGGGTCTCCCGAAGCCAAGTTTGCAGAGCGGGCCAGGGAGGAAGCCCTCCTTCTCCTAAGTGATGGTCAGCTGGTGTGTGGCAGAACCCACCATCTGGTGCAAGCTGGCCTCTTCTCAGCGTTTCGTCCACCAGTCTCTGCACACTCCAGGTACCGAAGGACCACTTCACACTGTCTCAGCCACCCAGCCCATCTGGAGGGGACCATCACCCAGAGTCTTCCCCCACAGTGGTCTGGGCTGCTCCATACAGTGCCCTTGGGATCCTGTGTGGTCTGGCACATTCCTCCAGGGAGTCTCTGGAGTTAGGCAGCGATTATGATCATCTTTGTAATGCAGGAGCAATTACAGTGATTGTAGCAAGCCGGGCACTGGCTTTGCGCCAGAGCTTTTTAAGCATTTAAGTGTAATTTCATTTAGCGCTGTACAACTTTACAAGGCTGGTTACAAGCGTGGGTTACACATGAAGAAGGCAGGTGTGCAGCCCGGGGCTGGACCATCTCCCAGGGCACCTGCAGCCACGCCCTCCGGTGTCCTTCTCTTGCACTGCAGAGTCACTGCAGTTAGGACAGTGTGGATGAGTAACTGCCTGGAGGAAGACAGGAGCAGAGAAGGAAAGGAGGGAATGAACGGTGGGTGAGGGGGGTGGCTCAGGTGGGAGGATACTCGCTTAGCAGAGCCCTGGGTTTGATACTCAGCACCACATAACCCAGGTCTGGTGTGACATTTCTGCACCAGCTCTAGGGTGGTGGAGGCAGTAGGATCCAAAGTTCAGGGTCATTCTCAGCTCCATGGGGACTTTGAAGCCAGTCTTGGATCTGTGAGTTCCCGTCTCCAGAGCAAAACTAAGCACAATAGCACATGCCTGGGCAGTCGGTGCAGTCTCATGCATCCAGAGGACCCGCTGTGGGCTTGGGTCAGTAAACTTTCTCTGGACACAGCAGGCAGGACCCTGAAGCTGATCCTGTGCCGCTGTTGCCAGGAGTCCACTGTCCTCTCCCACTCCCCTTCACACAATTGATCTGGCCCTGGTCTATCTCACCAGTGCCCATAAAAGGTCAGCATAAGGGGAAGCTGGGAGTCAGCAGCCAGCCTAGCCCAGCAAAGATCTCGCCCACCTGGCTCTGCCCATGGCTCAGCAGGTCCTCTAACGCATCTCTGTGAGCTGCATCTTTGCCATAAGTATCTGCTGGCTCCACCGGATGGCTGCTGGGCTGTTGCGGGAGAGAGAGAGTTTCCACTGGAAGGAGCCACTCCAGCTTAGAGGTTTGAAGAAGGTTGGAGTTTGCCAGGTCGGGTTTCCCTGGGCCTGGCCTGGTGGTGCTCAGGACTGCCTTCCTCCTCTCTGAGTGGCCTCTTCAATTCGGGAGAGGACTGTCCCATTAATCTCCACCCAAGTGGCCATGAGGCAGAGTCACAGGAGCGGGGTTGGCAGTCTCTCCCTGCAGAGCGATGGGCACAGACCTGACTCCTACACCTGCGGCCACATGTGCTGGCAGTACTGGGTGGGGCCTGCTCCTCAGAGTCCACAGCTGAGTCCTGAGAGCCATGTACTTGACAGGGGAAGTTAGAGCAAGGGGTGGGAGCCAGTACTGACCCTCAGGGTCCCCAGCACCTACTGACACCTTTGCAGAGACAGAGTCTCTGAGTCACTTGGCATTTGGAAGGTCTAAGTTAAAAGGGACCTCCTTGTTCTTGGAGCCCCGTGTCTTTGGCTGCAGTCAAGCCATCCATGGGGTGAAGGGTAGCCATCCTTCCATGCGGGGGTCCTTCTTGAGACAGGCGCAGGGGCCTGGGAGCTGTGGGTGAGGTGCCGCCCATGTAGAGGCACAAGACCCTCTGCCCATTGTGCCCTAGTAGCTTTGCCAATGTCTGGAGAAGTTCAGGGTGAGTTCTGGTGCTGAAGACACAGCTCTGCGCAAAGCACTCCATGCCTCTGGGAAGGAGGCCTGGGTGGGGGAGAGGCAAGGTGGCCTGGTGCGCAGCACTGAGACAAAGAAGAAGTAATTGTGTCTGGGGTGCACATAGCCCCGAAAGGAGCTGGGGGAGGCCGATGGCAGTGTGAGGTCTGGACTGTGCTCCTGGTGAGAGGTTTAGAGATGGACCCTTCTCAGCGGGGAAGGCTGTGCTAGACTATAGGTGTGGTTCGTAAGACAAGCAGGTGAGAAGTGGACTGGGCCTATACCACTGCCCAGGGAGCCATGGCAAGGGGCCTGGGCCCAGATGTCTGATGGGTAGGCCGTGGGTGTTGGGAAGGATGCTCTAAAAAGGGTTGCCGTTTGGATTTTGTCTGAAGGTGTGCTGAAGCTTTGGGCACTGTGGTCCCATAGAGTACTTGGCCATTTTGGGTCACCTGGAAGGTTGGCTCTGTGTGTTTGAAGGAAGCAGGATGAGTAGGGATCCGTCAGCACCGGCAGACCACTAGCAGGGGCATCTGGGGAGCCCGTGTTGAGCAGCGTCTACCTTGAGAGTTGCGGGCGAGGGGGAAGGCTGAGATGGTCACACTGCTGTGGCTTCATGTCCTTCTCTACGCCCCACAGTCACTTGTTTTGAAGACACCCCCCCCACACACACACACACACATACTCTGCTGTCTCTGCAGGGCTTGATCTGGGCCAGGCAGTGAGCACTAGGTCGGGGAGGGAGGGAGGGAGGGA